GATATGAGAGATTTTAATAATAACAACCACCATTTATGAACATCTTTTAAATTCCAGGTATTATTCTTGCAATGCTGGATGATTCATATTGGCTTTCCCTTTTCATAGATGAGGAAAGTGAATTGTACAAGTTATGTAGATTTTCCAATGTCACAAGAGCTAAGACCTGGTTATATAGATGATTCATGTTGTTCAATTCTAAGATAGTTCACAAATAACTCAGATCTAACACCTAATAAATGTATGTTGATTAACACTAATTGAGTAATTGGTAAGTGCCAACCACTGCTCTAAATACTTCCTGTGTATTTTCCCATTTAAGGAATAAATGTCTGCCCTAATTACCCTAACTGTGTAGTTTGCCCTTTCTTTGATGAATATGTAACGAATTATTCTGTTCCTCCAATCTAACATTTAGAAATATTCAAGTAGGTCAAAAGAAACACTCAAGGTAGAGAATATTATCTGGAAAGAGCGTTAGACGTGACACAGACACGTCTTTCTTCATTTCAACTCCACGTCTCACTCTGAACAAATCACTCAGCCTTCTTTGACCCTAGTTTTCTTTTCTTTATGATAAGTGGATTGGATCAGTGACCTCTATATACCCTACTGCTACTATCTGTGGTTGTTTTTCTTTGAGTCACTCTATCCATTCAGATTAATACAAGGCAGAATGGGAAGCCTCTATCAGCTTTGTGAAAGGAGCTTCTAGAGCAATAAGAAAGAGTGACTAAGATAATGGTAAGAATCAAATGAGTCTACATTCAGTCCTCAGCAGAAGTAACAGCTCTAGCAAGGCACTATTTGTGTCAGGTTTTGAGGGACTAACTTGCAGAGGAGACATCATGACTCATGAAAGCAAATGACACAAATTTTCCATGAGCTTTAGAGTGTAATTGTATAGACTTATCTGCTTCTCAGCTTGTTGTAACTTCCCCTGCAGCCTATTTTTCCTTAGCCTCAGAATTAATACTGAGCAATGAATCTAAATCAAGTGAGAAGGGAAGTCAGAAGGACTTCAAATAAAAGGTAAAAAAAATCCAGCCATTCCCCCCCTCATTTCCAGGTTTTTTGTTCCTTAAAGACTTTTTAGATGTTCTCTGAGCTCATGATTCTTAAGTAGTGACTGAAATTGCCTCCTTTTCATGTTCCTACAATATTAGAGTATCACATTTCTAAAATGAAGTGCTATACCCATGGTATGAAAAGTAGGATATTCTATAAAGTCAAATAACAATTTTCTCTCCAGACAATAAGCTTACCACACCAATTGTTCTCAAGTGACAATAAACATACCAAAGAATGACTTCCTTCTCAAAATTTTAAAGTGCATTTGCTAAAGAACAGGTTATATGATTTGAAAAATGCATACTGAATATAAAGTTGTAATTATTTTAGTTCATCATAGCATTATGTAGAAAAGATAGATGATATTATATAATTTAGCTACAATGGCCAACTAAGTCTCTAAACTTAGAGACTCGAGAAAGAGGACTGCTTGGGAACATAAGTAAATTCTTTCAGGTGTCCAGCCAATTAGAACCATAGATCATATCCAAGAAAGATATGTCTTAATACAGTTTGTAGGCTCCCATATGCTACTTACTACTTCAGATAAAGCAGGCAGATTTTCTTGTTAAACAGAAAACCAATATTTCTATAAAATTTTACTATGTATGCATTTTTCAAATAAATTATTTGAGATGAAAAGAAGGTATGATTTTAATTCTCACTTTACAGAAGAGGAAGCTAAAGCTCAGAGTTCAAAGCTCAGGTTGTAGTAGTGATACAAAACCAGGTCTCCAACCTCCAAAATCCAGACTGTATCTCCTTGTCATACATGGGCCCTATATTCATCATTATATTATCTGTTGCCCTCAAAGAGATAGAGGTAACCAAAGTAGGATGCTTCTGCTATGACCCAGATATAGGGGACAAGACAAATAATTAATTCCAGTAATTGACATTTATTGTGTGCCTACTACGTGCCAGGTTCACAGACACAGCAATAGACATGACAGATGAAAGTGTCTGCCTTGTGGATTTTAATGGAAATGAGCAGGGTAGGGAGAGAAAAGCAATAGGTAAATTTACTTATGAACTTACTTATGAACATACATGATACATTCAATAATAATCAATGTGAGAGGAAAACAAGCAGAATGAAGAGTAGGAAGCTGAGTAGTGGTGGATGCTGATGTTTTAAATGTCAGGGAAAATCTCCCTGAGAATGTGGCATTTTAGCAATAATCTGACACAAGAGAAGGAGATGAAAATGCAGGTAAACTGACATAATTAAAGGATTTAAAGGATTAGCAGGAACAAAACTGAAAATGTGATTCTATCCCAGCTTCCCAAAGCTCCTAAATCATCTACACCCAGGATGGAGGTAGATGGTAGGAGGATGAGCCATGCTGGGAACATCATGGTAGTTTAGCAGGTTCTGGGGAGGAAGCATGCTTTGGGTTGACTCCAGCTGGGAGTCATGCTTTGGGTTGACTCAGTAGTGAGTGAAATGTTAGCAGTAAAAAAAATCAGGGAGCACCACGCTGACAAAATGCCCTGTTTCCTTGAAGGAAATGATGCTCCTCAAACTTTTCATGTAGGAAGAGAGCTCCAGGACAAGGCTCCAACTTTATTTATCCTTTTCTTTCTTTAGACACCTTGTCTTGTTTACTCCTTTTGAACCTATCATTTTTTCCTTCTAATTTCCATATAATAGAAAAAGGAAAGGGGTATGAGAAATGGTAAGTGATTGGAAAGGAGAGTCAAATCAAAGCTGGAAGTTATTCCTCCTTTTCCCCCTTCTCACCTCCTGATAATTTTACTTACTGCTCATCTTAAAAGTTGCATTTTTTCTTGACTATAATCAATGTTACCTATCCTTTTTCCTCATGTAAGTTCAATTCTCTTTGAGAATTTTTAAAATAAAAGTTATGTTTACATGCATAAACAATTGATTCTACTGAGTGATTGATGAGTTTAATCTTTGAATGATTAAACCAAACACTTTTAAACCTTTGTTTTCTTTTATTTAGTGAATCATACCATTTGACTGAACTATTATTGTAGCTAGGAAGGTCAGTTTGGGAATTTCCATTGTGGACACATCCTACAAAGAGAAATAAAATGAAACAAAGCCAGACATCTTCATTCAATTTGGACTGTATAGAAAAATGTTGCCAACTATTTTTACTGTAATATTTCTGGATAATATTGGAAGATAAAAATTCTTTTACTTATTCTGCCTCCCTTCCAGTTCCAGCAGGTGTATTCAATATAAGACCAGATTGCCTTCAGTGATGTTGTCCCAATGAATCATCCATCTGGGTTGCCTTTATATTCTTAAAATTGAAATGATGAATACCTGATTTAAAAATTTTACAGATGGTGTCTTCTTTTGGTTGGCCTTACTTTAAAAGAACATTTATATTTTATCTGTGTCAGGGGAAGCTCCTCATCTCACACAGTTCCCAAGCCTTTCCAACATTTCAAATACTTGCTGCTGTAGAAATAAGTGGAATGCCCTAGCCTGATTCATAAATGCCAGTAGGGTTTAATTCTGCACTTAAATTATGTATAGAATTGGAAATGACATTTTGAAAATTAAGAGTTTGTATAAGTTTAGAAATTCACAGACTTAGAGAAATTCTAATTGGAAAGGTTATTAGTAGTCATCAATTCATACTCACATGATGAATAAATCTACTATATAACAGCGCAGTAGATGGTTGTCCAGTTTATGCTTGGACATTAACAGCATGTCTTTCAAAATATACATGAGACTCATGCTGTGTTTGGTAGAAAAAGAGGTTTGGGGGAGAATTAATTAGAAATAGTCTCTACTGTCTCTATAGAGGTGAATACCTTTGTCTTTATATTTAAACTGTCCAGTCTTCAGCGCAAACCTAAATATCCTCATGTGTTCTCAAAGGTTTTTAAAACTTGGGTTTTTAATAGGCTAGTTATTGTATTTTCATACAATAATAGTCAAGAAATCTAGCCATAATTCAGAAAGAATCATGTACCACAATGTTCATTGCAGCACTATTTACAATAGCCAGGACATGGAGGCAACCTAAGTGTCTATCGACAGATGAAAGGATAAAGAAGATATGGCACATATATACAATGGAATATTACTCAGACATAAAAAGAAATGAAATTGAGTTATTTGTAGTGAGGTGGATGGACCTAGAGTCTGTCATACAGAGTGAAGTAAGTCAGAAAGAGAAAAACAAATACCGTATGCTAACACATATAGATGGAATCTAAACAAACAAACAAAAAAGTCTCTGATGAACCTAGGGGCAGGGCAGGAAAAAAGACACAGATGTAGAGAATGGACTTGAGGACACAGGGAGGGGTAAGTGTAAGCTGGGACGAAGTGAGAGAGTAGCACTGACATATATACACTATCAAATGTAAAATAGAGAGCTAGTGGGAAACAGCTGCATCACACAGGGAGATCAGCTTGGTGCCTCGTGACCATCTAGACAGGTGGGATAGAGAGGGTGGGAGGGAGATGCAAGAGGGAGGGGATATGGGGTTATATGTACACATATAGCTGATTCACTTTGTTATACAGCAGAAACTAACACAACATTGTAAAGCAATTATATTACAATAAAGATGTTAAAAAAAAACCCCAAAAATCTCAAGCCCAGAAGTCAGGTTTCTTGTGTTTGAATGCTAGATTTTCTACTTGCTCACTACCTGACCTTGGACTAATTACTGAATCTCATCCTTAAGATGTAGTAATAATAATACCTCTATTATAAGTTAGATTTAAAAGTGATATTCCACATGGAAGTGTTAATCTCTGCCTACCACAAAGTAAACTTACAATAAATTTCATTATTACCCCTTGTAATTTTTCCTAAGCACAAATTTGAATTGATTAGGCCAGAGGCTAGTTTTCTGTGCCATGCTACATTGGTTAAAAGTGAATAAAGTCATCTACCTACTTGAATGACCAATTCGTCTCTGTTTTCCAGGGATTTGCTAGGTTTAGTGCTGAAAATCCTATATCCTGGGAACACTTCTTATACCTGCACAAACCAAGATGCTTGGTAAGCCTACCCAGAATCTACATCTCCAGCATGGATTTGTGATTCTCTAATTTCATTTCCATCTCTACAAGTTTTTCAATGGAGTAACTCCTGAATTATGATAATTAATTTAAAAAATGTTAAAATTTTCAATATGTATCATTAAAAAATGTAAAGGTTTACTCTAATTTTTGAGTTCTGGATTATGAGAAACATGCTACCTTGTTAAGACAGGTATTATGAAAATGTGGAGGGTGATTATTTTTCTTCCCCACACCTCTTGGGACAAATTTAATTATGAGTGGCTTGCAGGGTTAGTGTCTAGAATGCCTGATTGAAGAAATCTCAAAGAATGTGCTGATTTTCCTCTGAATACTGATCATTTACTTGGAGAGCTATGAACCAATACTCATGAATGATACTTAGGGTATCTGGGAAACTCTTAAAACTGTAATAAAAATTCATATGCATATGTTTGTGTGTGCATTTTTCAGGGAGAGTATTTGTAAATTTCGTCAGCTTTCAAGAGGAAACCATGGTGCCTAAATGTTTAAAGTTCACTTTCTTGAGAAGGCTTGAAAAGCTAACATTTGTACAGTTTGGGTCTACTTGAAACAAGGTTTACCTGCTCTCCTCTTTCTTGGTCCCTTTTAGTCCTTGGATTTAGTGAATGAAGTCCCAGAGGATCACTTCAGAGTAACTTGATTCAAATCCTCTATAGAGTCTCCTTCCCTCACTCGATATTAGACAAGCTTTGAATTGGTCACAAATTTGATTTCAGGATTGGAAAATCTGTATTAGATAGGGCATTTCTATGGGGGGTTTGTTGTTAGAAATAATGAATAACATTATTAACCCTAAGGTAACAGGAAAGATGTGTTGGAAGAAGGTAAACAAGAAGTCTGGGTTGTACAGACAGCATAACTGAGTTATTTACCCTGCTCATGGGCTTAGGTCAGTGACAAAAGAGCACTCCTAATTTTCACATGAAAACTATTTCCTTTATGGGTGCATGAGATAGCACATGCTGAAGGACAATCTGAATGATATCACAGGTGGAAGCAATGTAAATTAGTGTTCAAGAGATGAACTGGGCTGCAAACACAAAATGATCCCAAGGTCCAATAAATAGTTTGTGAATTAGAAATGGGTTAGGGAGAGTGGCTTTGAGACTCTTTTTGAGGATAAGACTCTTAGAGACTCATCTTTATATGGTGTCAGTACATGGGTGCATGGATGGGTGTGGTGATTTACAGGGATATATACAAATTCGCACAGAGATGTAGCAGGAGATGAGAGGTTCTCTGTCATTGGGGCAATAGTGCTCCCTTGTTGGGCACACTGCACTTTGTTGAAAAAGCACTGTACAAAACTTATCCGATTGGTACTTCTAAATTTATTGTCACTAAAGTTAAATGAAACTTCAGCGTTGCTTGGCAATGTTTTTTTCTTTTCATTTTTTCTAAATGACTTATAATTCCATTTAACATAATGTTTATTTCATTACTCTACAGTATTGTCAAACCTCTAGTCTTCCACCCTTTTTCACTGTCAGTAATTGATTACTTCTTGCCTTACGGATAAAGTATAAGCTCCCAGAGAGGAAGACTTTCAATTTCTGAAACCAAATGTACCTATCTACTACAATGAGGGTAATACAGCATCTTCTGTCCATGCCCAGTTCCTTCACTTTTCCTCAAATCCTTCCCTTCCTGCCATCTCAGAAATCTTTACTTTATCTACTGTACTTTACATTACCTGGTGTCTCCTGAGTCTTCAACTTGTTATCCTACGTGAGCATTCTTATATCAGATAATCTTGCTTCTTATCTTAAAAAACAAAACAAAACAAAGAAAAACTCCCTCTATTTTATGTTCCTTCCCACTTCTGCTCTTTAGTCTTCTCTCTCAGTCAAGCATTTTAGGAGTTGTCTCTACTCATTGTCTCCACTTACTGAGCTGCAAATTATCTTCTGCTTCCACTTTCCACTCCAAAACTGACCATGCTAATGCCACCAATGACCACAGTATCACAAAATCCAAAAAGTAATCTTTCATTATCTTAGGTAAAATCTCAACCACATCCAATGCATTTGATTGTTCTTGGAAGAATTTCTTGCTTTGACTCCACCAGAAACGTCTCATTTTCATTAAACTCGCTGGTCACTCCTTGCTGCTCTCCCTGGCTGTCTCTTCCTCTTCTACTCAATCTTCAAAGGTTGACATTCCACCTTGAGCTTGACCCTTCCCTCAGTGCTCTTTTTCTAGGCAATGTCTTATCCTTACATCTCTCAGACTCAACTGCTGACTTGGTCCATGTGTTAAATGCCTCAAACTCAACTTTTAAAAGTCAAATCAGTTCTCTTTCACCACAAACCTGCTCTTTACCCAGGATTCTCTATCTCAATAGACTACACCATCATCAAATATTCTGTTCAATGTGGAATCCTGGTTATCATCTCTGATGTCTCCTTCTATCTCCGACCATACTCAGTTAATCACCATTCCCTCAGTTTTGCTTACGTCTCTCCATATGTAACATCCTATTCTAAATCAATATTGTAGTTTACTTGGTCTCCTCTTTTTTTTTTTTTTTTTTTTTTTGTAATGCGGTACGTGGGTCTCTCACTGCTGTGGCCTCTCCCATCGCGGAGCACAGGCCCTGGACACGCAGGCCCAGCGGCCATGGCTCATGGGCCCAGCCACTCTGCGGCATGTGGGATTTTCCCGGACCAGGGCACGAACCCGTGTCCCCTGCATTGGCAGGCGGACTCTCAACCACTGCGCCACCAGGGAAGCCCTACTTGGTCTCCTCTTATCCACTGTTGCTGCCTCAACATCCTACCTCTTTTTTCTTTCTTCTCTAAGCAGCCACAGTTGTCTTTACAAACTCAGATTTTATCATGTTGCCGCTATTCTAATATCCATCAATGGTTTACCATTGCTCCTAGAATAGCCTCTAAAATCTTTAACCACAAGGTCTTAAAATTATATCACTCTCATTGCAATCTTAGTCTCATATCTTACCATATCTTACTTATCTCTCTGTGATATAGTCACCTTGGACTCCTTTCAGTGGTTCAATTACCTTGTGCTCCTTCACATCACAGCGCCTTCATGCAGATCTGGGCTGCTTTTGCTTTTTTTTCTGCACCTAGTTAATACATCCTTCAGTTTTCAGTTTATAAGTCATTGCCTTCTACCCAGATTAGTTTCCACTGTATTTCTCTCTTAATAAATATAAGAATTGCCATATGTGTAATTATTTGTTTAAAGACTTAATTGCCAGCATGATAATAACCTCCACGAGGCTAGGCATTATCCACCTTATTTACAGCTGTATTATTAGTTATTTCTTGAATGAATGAAGATACTATAATCACATTTATCCTTTTTGATAACGTCTTGACTAATCTTATAACCAAAAAAAAAAAAAAATCACTGAGGGGGGAGATCAATATGGCAGACTAGGAGGAAGCAGAGCTCACCTCCCCCCATGAACACATCAAAAATACATCTACATGTGGAACACTTCTCACTGAAAACTAACTGGAGACTGGAAGAAAGACTCCTGTACAACCCAGGCTGTAAGAAAGATACACATGGGATCAGGTAGGAAGGGAAAAGAAGTGATTAGTTGGGGACCTGTGCCCTGGGGAGAGACTAAGAAGAAGTGGGGGTTATATGGGTAGACATCCTCTGTCTGGGGAGTATGTGGTTCAAGTCACATGTTGGGCACCTCATCCCTGGGGGAAAATGAGTCTCCTTGTCTGGTTGGAGGGCCAGGGGTACTAATAGGAAGGCTGTGGGAAGCCTGGACTCTGCTGTGAGGAGTGCACACGTACTTTCTTACTCCCAAAATAGGGCAAAGAGGAAGGATTGAAATGGCATGGGTTGCTGGTAGGTTTCTGGTGACCACCCTGACACATGACCCAGCCTGCCCCAAGCAACCATTCTGGTCCCACTTGCTTTCTGACTGTAGCTCCACTAGGGTGAAGGCCACAGGGGCTAAGGGGAGGCTCAAAAGCAACTGTGAGGCACAAAAGCAGCTCAGACCCAGAGGGACATCTGAATAGGGTGGGGGCAGCCAATACTGGCACTTACACAGGCACTGCATCAGAAGCAGTGTGGGTCGCTGACTGCAGCTAGGGCCACATAGCCCATACCCATACCCACACCAAACAGCCACACCAGCTCCTCTTGCTCCAGCACTGCTTCCCTCTGGGACAGGGATGCTGGTGCTGGGAGTGGGAGAGCACACACTTAAGGGGAATAGAACCAGCTCAGACCGGACCCTCAAGGCTTCTAGTCTGAAGACCTGGTCCCATACCCAATAGGCAGTGATGGCCTCTGGGCAGAGGAGAAGCTCCAGTTCATACCTAGCTCTCACCTCAGCCCCACCATCTCCAGCCCCACTTCCTACCAAGACGATAGCCGCCAGCACACTCTGAGGAAAGATGCGACTTTTGTTCACATCAAATCCAGCTCTCCTACCAAAGCCACTGGGCACATGCAGACTGCATAAGGATGCTCCCACACAAGGACACCCCTTCAAGACTGCAATGGGTAACTGTTCCACCTAATTTCATATAGACAAAGTTAAGCAAAATGAGAAGATAGAGGAATTTGTTTCAGGTGAAAGAACAAAAGAAAACCCTTGACTTGCCACAGCAATCTTGAGATAAAAGAGTAAAGCTGGAGGAATCAGACTCCCTGATGTCAGACTATACTACAAAACTAGAGTAATCAAAACAACATGGTACTGGCACAAAAGTAGAAACATAGATCAGTGGAACAAAATAGAAAGCCCAGAAATAAACCCACATGCCTAGGGTCAGTTAATCTACAACAAAGGAAGCAAGAATATACAATGGAGAAAAAACAGTCTCTTTAATAAGTAGTGCTGATAAAACTGGACCGCTATGGGTAAAAAAGTGAAATTAGAACATTTTCTTACACCATATACAAAAAATGAACTCAAAATGGATTAAAGAACTAAATGTAAGACTTGAAAACATAAAA